TATTGTAATGATTCATCAACACGGCTGGGATCCATTTGCAGTTTTATTTGAAACTTAATCAAACAAGCAGAGGTCAAGACACAGATAAGGCAGTATCGTAGGGTAGACAGAATTGTGATCATAGACAGACCTGAGATCGGGGCAGGCAGATATCGTTCAGAAACTGAGACAGTCTTAGGTCAGGGCAGGCGGCAATCCAAAGTCGATAGTCCAGTATCCAGAGCACAAGTCCAAGGGGCAGGCAGCAAATCAACAAGAGACACAGGCAGGCAGAGGTAATAACAGAAGGCAGTCCAATGTAACCAGAATAACGCTCAGAGATGTTCACCAAGGCAAAACAAGACTTCGCAGTGAACCTGGGTGAAAGAGCTCATTAAATAGTCTAACGTAATGGGGAACAGGTGTAGGGGAATAATCAGTGACAGGTGCAGGGCTGATGGGAAATGTAGTGCGGGAAGGAAACTAGTACTCTGGTGATGGGGCCCTCTGGTGGCCCGAAGGGAGAGTAACAGGAGCGCTCTCCGTGACAGAGCCCCCCCCCCTGCGAACGGCTCCGGAAGTGAGGAGGTGGTCGACGCCGGGGTCTTCCGCGTGGTCTGGGGGCCGGTCTCTCCGGATGGTCTCGGTGGTACTCCTCCATAAGACTGGGATCTAGAATGTCGTCTGCATTCACCCAGGACCTCTCCTCTGGACCGTAACCCTCCCAGTCGACCAGATATTGGAGAGTTCTCCCCCGGCGTCTGGAGTCGAGCAGTTCTCGCACCTGATAGATCTCCTCGCCCTCCACCGTTATGGGTTGGGGACCCTGGTCCTCGGGCGCCTCCTCTCCTCCCTCACCGGGACCAGCAGCGGGCTTCAACAAGGAGACATGAAATGTGGGAGAAACACGGAAGTGATTAGGTAAAGCCAATTCAAAAGATACAGGGGTAATTTGGCGAATAATCTGGAAAGGACCCACATACCTGGGACTGAGCTTACGGCATGGCAAACGGAGACGGAGGTCACGAGTGGATAACCATACCCACTGGCCAACACTATATTCTGGGCTGGGACGGCGATGCCGATCAGCCTGAATCCGCTGACGTCTTACAGCATGCTGTAAATGATGATGGGGCTGATTCCAAGTCTCCTCACTTCTCTGAATCCAGTCATTAACTGTAGGAACGTTAGACGGTTCTCCTGACCAGGGAAACAGGGGTGGTTGATATCCCAGAATACACTGAAACGGAGTTAATCCAGTAGAGGGCTTGCGGAGAGAGTTTTGAGCGTATTCGGCCCACATGATATAACGGCTCCAATCCTGTTGATTTTGACTACAATATGAACGAAGGAACCGGGTAAGTTCCTGGTTGAGTCTCTCTACCTGATCATTGGATTGGGGATGGTAGCCCGAGGTGAGGCTCACATTGATCTCCAGTGCCTTGAAGAAAGCGGCCCACAGACGGGAGGTAAACTGGGGACCCCGGTCGGAAACGATATCCTCCGGTAAACCATAGAAGCGGAAGACTAGATTACATAATTGTTCAGCCGTCTCCAGAGCGGTGGGTAACTTAGGCAAGGGAATGAGGCGACAGGCCTTAGAGAAGCGGTCAATGACAGTAAGGACCGTAGTATGGCCATTGGAACTAGGTAGGTCGGTAACGAAATCTATGGCGATATGTGACCAGGAACGTTGTGGTATGGGTAGCGGTTGAAAGAGTCCTGCTGGTAGTAGGCGGGATGGTTTCTGTGTATTGCAAACCCTGCATTCATGAATCTGACTAGTAGTATCCTTTCTCAGGGATGGCCACCAGAACCGGTTTTGAAGTAGTTGGATGGTTGCATTAATTCCTGGATGTCCTGAGCTGAGCGAAGCATGAACGTGTGTGATCGTTCTCTCTCGAAGAGCTACAGGGACAAATAACTTATCCTGGGGGCATTCAGCAGGGACGTTGTGTTCGGTATTAGCCTGCTCAATCTCAGTAATAATGTCCCACTGGATAGGTGACACAATGAGAGCCGGGGAAATGACATTTTCAGGCCTATTGGAGTCAGAATCTCTCTCGAATTGCCGTGATAGAGCGTCTGCCTTTGTGTTCTTAGAACCTGGCCGGTAGGTAACAGTGAAATCAAACCTGGAGGAAAAACAGAGACCACCTAGCCTGTCGTGGATTGAGTCTCTTAGCCGTTCTCAAGTACTCCAGGTTACGATGGTCGGTTAGAACCGTGAATGAATGTTTTGCCCCTTCCAGCCAATGACGCCATTCCTCGAGTGCAGCTTTAATGGCCAACAACTCCCTGTCACCAACATCATCATTTCTTTCCGCTGGGCTGAGTTTGCGTGAATAAGCACATGGAAACATCTTTGCAGGTGAGCCCTGACGTTGTGATAGCACTGCCCCTATTCCGATGTTGGAAGCGTCAACCTCTACTATGAACGGAAAACTGGGGTCAGGGAGGTGTAAGATGGGAGCGGTGGTGAATCGTTGCTTCAATTCCTGAAAAGCCTCTTGGGCAATAGGTGACCAGTGAAGACGACTAGAACCCCTCTTTGTCATATTTGTGAAAGGAGCAGCTACGGAGCTGAAACCTCTGATGAAGCGACGATAGAAGTTGGCGAATCCCAGGAAACGTTGCAGCTCCTTAATAGTAGATGGTAATGGCCATTTTAGGACTGCATTGACTTTGTTCTCATCCATGGCCACTCCCTCCTGACTAATCACGTAGCCCAGGAAAGAGAGGGATGTCAGATGAAACTCGCACTTCTCTGCTTTGGCGTACAGTTGGTGCTGGATTAGACGTTTGAGAACAGACCTGACATGTTGGATATGCTCCTCGAGGGTTTCGGAATAGACCAGAATATCGTCAATGTATACGATAACATTCCTGTTGAGCATGTCCCTGAAGACGTCATTGATGAATGACTGGAAGATAGATGGACTGTTGACTAGGCCGAAGGGCATAACCCGATATTCATAGTGCCCAGTGGTCGTGGAGAAAGCAGTTTTCCATTCGTCACCCGCCCGAATCCGAATGAGATTATATGCACTGCGTAAATCCAGCTTGGTGAAGAATTTGGCAGTTCTCAGCCGTTCCAGTGCAGAGGGTACTAATGGTAGTGGGTAACGAAATTTAACAGTCATTTCATTGAGGCCACGATAATCGATGCAAGGACGGAGACCGCCCTCCTTCTTCACGAAGAAAAACCCTGCGGACGCTGGTGAAGTGGAGGGTTGGATGAAGCCTTTAGCCAGTTCTTCCTGAATGTAGTTGTTCATGGCTTCGGATTCTGGTTGTGACAGGGGAAATATGCGGCCCTTCGGGGGACTAGAGTCGGGCAGAAGGTCGATAGCGCAGTCGGAGGGTCTGTGAGGAGGCAGTTGAGAGGCTTTGGATTTGCTGAATGCGTCACTTAGATCATGATAGACACTGGGGAACCCCGGGTAGTCAGTATCTGTAACGCTAACAGTTAGAAGATGAAGGGGAGTGATGTTCTGAACACAACGGGGAAAACAGTTCTCATTCCAGCTGATTATCTGAGATTCCTGCCAGGAGATGTTTGGGTTATGCCTGCGGAGCCACGGCAATCCTAGAATGATGGGTGCATGAGAAGTTGAAATAATGTAAAATTGAATGGTCTCCTGATGAAGAATTCCCGTTGCCATACTAAGTTTCGTTGTCATGCGAGTTATCTTTCCTGTGCCCAGGGGGCGCCCGTCGACCGCCTCGACTGCCAAAGGAGAAAGACATTTTATTAGAGTGATACTGCATTCTTGAGCAAAGCCCAATGACATAAAATTCCCAGCCGCACCAGAGTCTAACATGGCACGCATGAACACAGCTCTTGGTGGGAAGAGTGAGGGTGACAGGAACAGTAATGCAGTTATCGACATTGAGAGCTAGAATGGGAACACTCACCCGAGTTGCGGGGTCTCGGCGAGAGCGAGAGGGGCATGACAACCTCATGTGGCCTGACTCGCCACAATAGAGACATAGACGGTGATTAATGCGACGATCTCTCTCCTCAGGAGAGAGGTGATAGGTGTCGACCTGCAGGGGTTCGTGGGTGTCAGAAATAGTCCTAGTAGTTGTTCTTGTCGAGGGGCGTCGTGATCTGAGAAGATTGTCAATCTGAATAGAGAGCTCCATAAACTGATTTAAAGTTCTCCCCTCATCTCGGCATGCTAGTTCCGTCTGTAATTCGGGACTTAAACCTCTCCTGAAGTGTACCTTCAGAGGATCCTCGGTCCATGTTGTTTGTGCGGCGAGCGTACGAAAGGACAAAGCATATTCCGCCGCAGTTCTCCTCCCCTGGGTCAGTGTTAGCAACTGTTCATCTGCACTCCGACCATCCCTTGAATGATCAAAGACCTCCCGGAAACGTTGAAGAAAGATTGTAAATGAGGGGAAAGGAGATCTGTCCTCCCTCCATACTGCCGTCATCCACTCCAGCGCTTTACCAGTGAGAAGAGAACAAACAAAAGAAATCCTCCCCTCCTCTGTTGCATACAGGGCTGGTTGTTGGTTAACGAACAGGGTGCATTGGAGAAGAAATCCCTTGCACTGAGCTGGATTACCGTCATACTTCTCAGGGAAAGCTAAGCGGGGACTCACATTGGAAGCTTGCGCTGAGGTGACCGCGAGAGCGGTGTTAGTTGGAGGCACCGAGAGCTCGGGTGGAGAAACGTGCAGTGTCTGTAACGTCTTGACTAATTCCTCCGTGAGTGCAGTGAGCCTCTGCAGCTGATGATGATGAGTGGCTAGTTGTGTTCCTTGTGCAGACAGCTCTGAAGAGAGGTGATAGATCGCTGCTGGATCATGTTGTGGCGAAGTCTTCTGTAATGATTCATCAACACGGCTGGGATCCATTTGCAGTTTTATTTGAAACTTAATCAAACAAGCAGAGGTCAAGACACAGATAAGGCAGTATCGTAGGGTAGACAGAATTGTGATCATAGACAGACCTGAGATCGGGGCAGGCAGAAATCGTTCGGAAACTGGGGCAGTCATAGGTCAGGGCAGGCGGCAATCCAAAGTCGATAGTCCAGTATCCAGAGCACAAGTCCAAGGGGCAGGCAGCAAATCAACAAGAGACAAAGGCAGGCAGAGGTAATAACAGAAGGCAGTCCAATGTAACCAGAATAACGCTCAGAGATGTTCACCAAGGCAAAACAAGACTTCGCAGTGAACCTGGGTGAAAGAGCTCATTAAATAGTCTAACGTAATGGGGAACAGGTGTAGGGGAATAATCAGTGACAGGTGCAGGGCTGATGGGAAATGTAGTGCGGGAAGGAAACTAGTACTCTGGTGATGGGGCCCTCTGGTGGCCCGAAGGGAGAGTAACAGGAGCGCTCTCCGTGACAGAGCCCCCCCCCCTGCGAACGGCTCCGGAAGTGAGGAGGTGGTCGACGCCGGGGTCTTCCGCGTGGTCTGGGGGCCGGTCTCTCCGGATGGTCTCGGTGGTACTCCTCCATAAGACTGGGATCTAGAATGTCGTCTGCATTCACCCAGGACCTCTCCTCTGGACCGTAACCCTCCCAGTCGACCAGATATTGGAGAGTTCTCCCCCGGCGTCTGGAGTCGAGCAGTTCTCGCACCTGATAGATCTCCTCGCCCTCCACCGTTATGGGTTGGGGACCCTGGTCCTCGGGCGCCTCCTCTCCTCCCTCACCGGGACCAGCAGCGGGCTTCAACAAGGAGACATGAAATGTGGGAGAAACACGGAAGTGATTAGGTAAGGCCAATTCAAAAGATACAGGGGTAATTTGCCGAACAATTTGGAAAGGACCTACGTACCTGGGACTGAGCTTACGGCATGGCAAACGGAGACGGAGGTCACGAGTGGATAACCATACCCACTGGCCAACACTATATTCTGGGCTGGGACGGCGATGCCGATCAGCCTGAATCCGCTGACGTCTTACAGCATGCTGTAAATGATGATGAGCCTGATTCCAAGTCTCCTCACTTCTCTGAATCCAGTCATTAACTGTAGGAACGTTAGACGGTTCTCCTGACCAGGGAAACAGGGGTGGTTGATATCCCAGAATACACTGAAACGGAGTTAACCCAGTAGAGGGCTTGCGGAGAGAGTTTTGAGCGTATTCGGCCCACATGATATAACGGCTCCAATCCTGTTGATTTTGACTACAATATGAACGAAGGAACCGGGTAAGTTCCTGGTTGAGTCTCTCTACCTGACCATTGGATTGGGGATGGTAGCCCGAGGTGAGGCTCACATTGATCTCCAGTGCCTTGAAGAAAGCGGCCCACAGACGGGAGGTAAACTGGGGACCCCGGTCG